CGGCCCCAGGCGGCGGGTTGGGCGTCCCGGCTGCGGCGCGGGTCGGACCCCAGGAGTCTGCTGCCTGCGTGCCGAGGCAGGCTGCGCCTGGGGCCCCCAGCCGGCGGGGTATGGCCAGCACCGCGGGCCCCAGAGCTGGAGCCAGTGAGGCTGTCCGAGCGCTGGGCGGAGCGGGGGCCCGATCGTGCCCACGTGGACTCAGCTGCTGGGCGCTGGTGGCCTCCCCGCACAGCTTAGGCTGGAAGTTGCCTGTTCCTGGCTGTCAGCTACTGCGCAGAGGCCATGTCCGGCCCTACCCCATGGCCACAGTCCCTGTGACTCAGGTGACTTCACCTATGACGACAGTGGGATGTAGCAACCCAAAGGGACTGTTTTTAGCCACGGGTGGTGGTGTACATTTGCAGTCACAGCCACCTGGGAGGCTGAGGCAGGAAGGTCCAAAGTTTGAGCAACAGAATGAGTCTGTTTCTAAATAAAAAGAGTTGGAGACATAGCCCAGTGGCAGAGTAAAGCCCTCACTTAGCATGGGCAAGGCTAGGTGTTCCGTCCCCAGATCTGCAAATATAAAGAAGTAGAAAAACTAGGCCTAGCAGGTGTAAAGCCTCTGTACACCCCGCAGAAAAAGTTGCTGTGTTAGATGGAGGCCCCGACCAAGTGCGACTCACGTTGCTTGAGTCCTTTCTTTGACTTTCTTTTTCACAACAGCTTTGTTGCAGTGTGCTTCACATATCACAGAACTTGCTGTGCTGTGTTTGCACAAAGGCATTGCTCTTGTGGACAGTGGGGAGGCTGTGTCCCAGCTGCCCTGGCTTCTCATGGGCTGAGCAGGCGACTGCGACCTTGGGGTTGAGCTGAGTCCCAGGAGCTGTCCGGGCCTCTGCTTCGTGTGCCTGGGACCCGGATGCTGCTCCCAGTGCACCTCTGTATCCTGTGCCCACTGCCGTGTGGCCCTGTCCTCTTTGGCACCTCTTGAGTCCTGGCAGGGCTTGGAAGCGTCCATGCAGTGTGTGGATGAAGGCTATGGGCACTGCCAGCTGCCAGCCAGTGCCCGCTCTTGCTGAAGGGGTATTCTGACACCCCGAGGTGTGGCTGCTCCTGGACCCCTGAAGGAGCAGCTCTTCCCCAGAAGCTGTAATTCTGTGGCTTTGGGTGTTATCCGGAAGAAGCTCCCCTCCAGGGAGGAAACTCCCCATCTTTTCACTGTTGTCTTCCCAGCTACAGCTTTGTGTCAGGCCGCAGGACACACCAGCCACCCCTCTCCACCCTATGGTGGTTGGTGTGTGGATTCTGACTATGGCTGGACAGTTGGGTTCCATAGCAGGAAGTCCTAGGCACAGACAGCATGGGCAGGAAGGGCCAGAGGAGAAGACCCAAGTGCTGCCCACAGCCCCACAGGTCAGGAGTGAGACCCACAGGTCAGGCCAGGAGGCCGTGCAGCCCGGGCCGGGGGCTGGATGCTGTCCTCCCAGTTTTCTGGCTACTTTCTTTGCAGAGAGTGAGAGTTCTACCCAGAGGCCACACAGAAGTCACTCATCCTCTCATCCCATGATCACCCTGCCCCTCCTGTGGGGAGCCAGGAGGAGGAGAGCAGTGGAAGCTTCCCTAGGGCTGGGGGCCAGGCCAGCGGAGGAGTTGACATTAGGGGCAGGGTTTTGGAGCTGGCTGTACTTCGGGAGGTGAATGCCGAGAGGTGACCTGGTCAGGAAAGTCCAGGACCTGGGGCTGGTTAGCCAGCCTGTGTCCAGGGCTAGGTGGGGAGTAGAACCGAGGACTGCAAGGGCGAGGGGAGGCCTGGCTTTGGCCTAGACGCTGGACCCCTCCTCCAGTCCCTGCTCTTGATCGGCTAGGGGTGCACAAGTGTGAGGAGGGCTATTGTACACACACATGCAAGCATGGGATGACTGCTGGGAAGGGCAGAGTGGGTAGCAGTGGAGCTGGTGCGCCATTGGGAGGGAGCTGTAGCAGAGGGGAGACACAGTCTGAACCCTGTGTTTCATCCAGGAGGGAAATGGGGCTGGGAAAGCGTGAGGGCAGCAAGGAAGCCAGTGGGGGCAGTGACTTGGTCACCTGAGTGATATTTAGAGTGTCGAGTCCTGACTGAACCCTGCCACACCACGCATAGTGGTCAGACAGACACACAGAAGTGCTGTGGGCACAGACCCTGCTGTGTGGTCATGTGCTGCTGGGGGAATGGGTTACTGTGTCACGGCTGAACCTTTCCCTATTGGTAACCCTGGCTGGTTTGTTTGTTTTGCTGTGCTGAGAACTGAACCCAAGGACGATGAGCTTGGGTATTTATCTGTACAATCTAGTACTAGCTGGGCTTGGTGGCGCATGCCTATAATCCCAGAACTTGGGAGGCTGAGGCAGGAGGATCACCGCAAATTCGAAGCCAGCCTGGGCTAAATAATGTGTTCAAGGCTGACCTAAACTACACAGCAAGATCCTGCCTCAAAACCAAAACAAAAGGGGCTGGGGATTTAGCTCAGCGGCAAAAGCGCCTGCCTGGCATGCGCAAGGTCGTGAATTCGGTTCCCGGTACCGGAGAAAAACCAAAAAAAAAAAAAAAAAAAAGACAAACAAAACAAACAATCCCAATATTGTATTTATTTATTTATGGTGGTCCTGGGGATGGAAGCCAGGGGTGCAGTACCTCTGAGCTACATCCTCAGCATTGTTTGAATTTTTTTTTTTTTTTAATCTCAAAATAGGGTCTCACTAAGTTGCCCAGGCTGGTCTTGAACTTGTGATTCTCCTGACTCAGCCTCCTAAGTGCTAAAGATTTCAGGCATATGCCATGCCACTACCACTGGCTTCTGCGTGTAGTTTTTTAAATAGGAGAAACTACATGTATTGATTGCATGAATAAACAAACAGCAGCCACTTGTGAGAATGGACCTTTCCTACATTTGCTTTCAGCAGTTTTGTAGAAATAGTTGTCAGGTGTCCAAGTTGGTGTGAGCTTGGTTTGGTACCGTGCTGAGCCCGGGAAACGATGAACTTGCCTGTCAACTCATAACTCTAAAGTGAATTTCTAGTGCTTGAGGGCCGAATAGTAGTGGCTGCACACAGATTAAACCTCTTCCCTGTTAGGTGGGCTTGGTATGCCCATGGGCTAGAACTGGGCACAACCAAGTCAGCACTGATGTGGAAATCCAGTATTGTGTGTAGAATTGTAGTGGCTCTGGGTGGCAGCTTGGATGTGAGGGGCTTGGATGGAACCTCAGCATTTGGGCTGTCCTTGAGTCTGTCAAGAGCAAGTCCCTGGGCCGAATTCCAGTGGTTGTGCTTGGCAAGGCACCCTCCCCCAGGGTGTACCCAGTTAGGGTTTGGTGACATAGTTGGGGCACATTTTGTTTTTGTAACACGCTGCTGGTGCTGCTCAGCCTGACTCAAGACAAGCGATGTTAGCTGCCTGGTGCCCCCAGCTGGGGCTGGTCTTCGTGCTGCCTTTGCCCTTGTCCTGCTCCTTCTTCCCAGGGCAGCAGCTCCAGGCCCCTGGCGCCCAGCTTTCCTGGAGGGCCGTTCTCCAGGCTTCACCACGTCGCTTTGAAAAAGGAGGTGTGGGCTTGTGGTCCTTCCGCCTTCACCACTCTGCCTCCTTGGGAGAGGAGACAGTTTCTGTGCTCAGAAGCCAGGTGTGCACCAGATGTGCTTTTGTCTGTGGAGGCAGCCCTGGCCCCTGAAGGTAATGGCCCCTCGATTCTGTTACCACAGTTGGGCTCTGCCTGTCCTAAGGCTGCGTCCATGGGAGGATTGCCTGAGTCCTGCTGTGTCTGGGGGACAGGGCTCTTGTGTGAGGTAAGCAGTCCATTTTGGGAATGGTTTACAGGACAGCACACTCCCACAGCTCCGTCATATGAGTGGTGCTGGTCTTTTTCTTAGCCAAGCGACCTGACGGAGTTTTTACAGTGAGCTGGTCTGGAACCTGAAAGGGCTACAGTGCATGTTGGGTTCCCGTCAGGTGCTAATCGCACGAACTCCATGTTCCTCAGTGTGAGCTCACACGCAGGAGCAGCCTGGGCTGCCCGTCCATTGCGTTGTCTGTTCCCTATGTGTCGCGCTGTGGTGTTGGTCCCTGCTCTTGTGCATTGCACGTGGGCAGCCGCAAGCAGCCAGGCTGCTGGCAAGAGTGCGAGTCGCTCAGCCTACAGCGTGTCGGGTGGAGTGGGAAGGCTGTGTGCAGCTTTGATGCAGGGCTTTCACCTGTTCGTGATGGTGTCTTCTGAACGAGACTCAGAGCTATACCTGCAGAAGCCCACAAGCACCGAGAGCCCTAAGGTGCAGGGTGGGTGCCAGGCCCTTGAGTGCCCGCTTCGTAGTGTGATGGCAGCTGACCGCTCAACTCGGAGTTGTCTGGATGGTGCTGGTGGTCTCTGCAACCGGAACTGATGTGAAAGTCAGGGCCTGCTGTCTGCTCTGGCCTTTGCCCTTTTTATTACTCGAGGACAAAAAGGTCAGGAGGCAGAAGATGTCCCCCAGCTCCCACGCAGCCGGAAGAGCAGCCTGGGGAAGACCTCTCAGGAGAGAGAGGAGGAGGAAGAGGAGGACAGCCTGTCTTCCTGTCCTGCCCTGTGCAGCTGCTCTGTCCACACAGAACATGGAATTTGGTCGTATCTGATGTAACAAACCTAAAATGGAGTTTTAACTTAAAGAATGTGTTTTTTTTTTTTTTTTTTTTGAGACAGTGTCTGACTTGCTCAGGCTGGCCTAAAATTCACAGTGATCCTCCTGCCTCAGCCTCTTGAGTGCTGGGATTATAGGCATGAGCCACCCCTCCTGGCAAGAATGTGGGTTTTTAAACTAGTGATATTTGAAATGGGAAAATCCCTCCACCTGAAGTGATTCAGAGCAATGTCTTTTGCCATTAGTGGTTCATGAGGTCAATTTATCAGCTTTTAACCAGAGAAAAAGAAATACCCTGGGAAACTCAGATGCCACGCATGGAGGGCAGCGAGGTCTGATGTGCTTTGGCTGCTGTTTCGAGCACATGTGCAGCAGGTCACATGGACACCAGGTTGGGGGTGTGGTGCTGCCAGGTGTGGATGTGAGCAGGTGACTGAGCCTGGCCTTGGTGTGGCATAGGCTTTTCGGGGACAGGGTCTCACTGCTTTGCCTGGGCTGGCATCAGACTCCTGGACTCAGGCAATCATGCCTCAGCCTCCCGAGTAGCTGGAATACAGGCGTGGTGGCCCTGTGCTTGGCTTACATGTGGCAATCCAGAACATCTGTATAGATTGCTGCCAGGGGGAGCAGGCCCATCCATGGTGCAAGGAGATTATGACCCCCTCTGAGAGATGCATAGTGATGGGGGTGCTGTCCTGTTTGCAGAGCCTAGCTCCCCCTCTTGTAGGTGCTTGGGGAGTACATGTAGGCTCCACATATGTTCGGGAGTGCCACACAGATGGCATTGTCATACATTATATGCTTATTAGCGTTGGCTGGTCCTGGACAGTGTCCCCTGTGTGCCCAAGAGGAAGGGTGACCCGTGTGGTCCTGAGCTGATCATCCAGGGCCAGACCTGGCCAGGACAGCAAGAGGGCTCCCGGCCACGGCCCTGTGAGGGCCTCCTGTGGGGTCTCCCTCGAGAACCGGGGCTGGAAAGCCTGTGCTCCTCCACAGAGGGTGCTGTTCCATAGACTTGGTGTCAGGTGCTCAGTGGGGAGACTGTGGGATGGGTTGTCACCGGGGCACGGGTTGTATAGCGGCTGAGCTGCTTATCCTAGGGGCTCGAGTTTTCTGAGTCGGAAGTACGCCGTTCAGGGCCATTTGGGAGTCACTCCTTTTCCAGGGTTACAGGTAGCATCTCTTGCATCTTTGAGCTCTGGACATCACACAAATGTGAGGTCCCTGAAGGCTGCTGGGTTCCGTCTCTCACCCCCAGACTTGCCATCCTCAGAGTCACCACACAGTGGCCCATAGGGTCAGCTCTGCCGGCACCTGGGGTCTGAAAGCATTTGTGGAATGAGGGGACAGTGGCATGTGGCAGCTGTCGGGCGGGGGGGTGTCTTACCACGTGAAACTGAAATGGAGATGGCGTGTGGGAATGGGACTGTGACTGCCGTCAGCCAAATGCTGCCTCGTGGGAGCTGCTCTGCCTCAGGGCCCGCGGTGGTGTGGCCAGGCCTAACCTGGTAAGCCGTGGTGTCCTTGGGAGCAGTGGAGGGTGATGAGACCTGGGTCGACTCTCAAGAGGCTGTGGGTGAGGGTCCGCCCCCCCAATATGGAGCAGGCGGCAGGGCAGGGAAGAGAGAACCACTGCTGCTGGCATGGGTGTCTGGCGGGGAGTGGGCTCGGCGCTTGGTTTGGCAGATGTCACGAAGACGGGAGTGTGTGTCCTGGCACTGCTTCCAGGGCATGTGGGGAAAGGGGCCAGGGCTCGGGCCGAGGCAGGGGCCGGCTTCCTGAGTCTGAGTTGCCCAGTGACAAGGTGTTCCCGGCATTTCTACAGAGGAGGGGAGGCCATCTCCACTGCAAGTCTGAAGGGTGTCTGACACCAAAGATGGAGCACAGCATGCTGAAAAGGGGGCTGAGGGCTTCCTGGGGTTGTGCTGGTGCTGCCTGCTGCCCCCCTGCATCGTGGGACCCCCAGACCCCAGTCCCGCCTTGCTGCTGGGTTGTGTACACTGCAGCATGGCCTGGCGCGCCCCTCTGGCTGCCCCGAGTCCTCTTGGACAGTGTCATTTCCCCATGAGGGACAGCCTCATTCTCACTCCGCCAGGCTCTGAGGTGTCATGGCCAGGTAGAACGTGGCCTAGGACCAGCCCCAGCCTTTGGGCTGCTTTTGGAAGGGGGATGTGGCAGAGAAGCTGCCAAAAAGGAGGAGTGGGCGCTGGCGTCTGGCCAGCCCTGGTTCCAGGTGCAGGAGGCAGCCTGCTTGTTTCTGGGTGTCATAGGGAACGCAGGCCCCCATCCCTGGTGTCATTCACGTGTCAGTGGGAGCTCAAGGTCTGTGTCCTCTCAGACCCCTGGGCGAGGGCCTACGCCTGTGAGCCTTGGCGGGGGAGAGGCCTGACGTCTCTGGGAGCGGGTCAGGAGTTGGTGTCTCCTTCCTTTTCCCTGTGGTGGAGTTCCAGATTCCCAAGAGGCCTGCTGGTGTTGCTGCCAGGACCTTCAGGGGCCAAGAGCGCTGTGCCGAGCCAGCATCTTAGCACTGGCCTGGCCCTGAGCAGTGCTCTTCCCCACTCTGCTGGGCAGGGAGGCCTGCTGTGCGCTCATTCCGGGGTGCCAGATGGGAGCCCAGTAGAGAAACCTGGGTGGAGATGGCACCACGGCTGGACAGTGAGGAAAGTGGGACAGGATGGCAGCCGCTCTGCAGGCATGGCTGGCATGGTTAGAGGCAGCAGGCCTGGGAGCCTGGAGGACACTCGGAGGGGCTTCGCGGCCCGTGAGTTTGGTCTGGACTGTGAGGGGCACTGATAGCAAATGGGGAGCACCGTGGCCGGCCAGCTGTGTCCCCTACCTGGGTGTCATTGGTCTAGGTATGTCCGGGACCTGAGGAACCGGCAGGTACAGTGTGGTCCGTCTTGGAAGCCATTGTTAAGCTGGGTGTGGTGGTGCACACAAGTATCGCAGCGCTCTGGGAGGCTGAGGCATGAGGATTGCAAGTTCAAACCCAGTCTGGGCAACTAAGCTACAAAAAAATGCAGGGCTGAGGATGTACCTTGTGCAGATGCCCTGGGTTCATTCCCAGTCACCTGCACACAGAGTCACAGAGCCACAGGCACGGGATGGAGGTGCTCGTGGGGAGGCAGCCTGCTCTGCCAGGCAGGGCTCCAGCCTGTGGGAAGCCCTTGAGTTGGTGCCCAGCGTGGGAGCCAAGGTCGATGTGGGTGCCGGTTGCACACTGGGGCCAGCTCCCACAGCTCCACAGTGCATACTGCTCCCTTGCAGCAGTATGCACTGCCTGTCTGCGAGGCTCCTGTGCTCACATCCTGCTCCTCAGACCCTCTCAGGATCCGCCTCGCTCATCCCCTCCCACACTGTGCTGGGCTAGGCATCATGTGGTGTATTCTTCCTCAGGGCCACAAGGCGTGTGGGGTTCCAGGTCTCATGGCTGCAGCCAGTGTGACCCCCCTGGGCTCCCTGGACCTGCTGCAGCCGGGCTTTTCCAAGACCCTCCTGGGGACCAAGCTCGAGGCCAAGTACCTGTGCTCTGCCTGTAGAAACGTCCTGCGGAGGCCCTTCCAGGCCCAGTGTGGCCACCGCTACTGCTCCTTCTGCCTAAGCAGCATCCTCAGGTGTGCGGGCTGCTGGCCGGGTGGCGCTGGGATCAGAGTTGCACCGTAGATTTGGTGGCTCCCGTCTAAGACCTCCCCAGATGCTGCAGGCTCAACTGTTTCAAACGTTGGGTACCTATTGCGGTGCTGTTCGGGGGCACAGAGGGCTAAGTACGAAGCAGCATCAGGGTTAACAGCTGTTCTCTCCACTGTTGCTCACGTAGGCACTGAGAGTCTCACTCCGAGAGGCTGCCCTGGGTGGCAGGGAGGAGTTGCTGGGCACCTGGGACACCAGTGTCACAGAGCACGAGGCTTTGGGCAACGCCCTCTTTAGAAAAGGAGCAGCTTGTCCCAGAAGTAGGGAGTCCTTGGCTGGGAGCTCTGCTCCTCACACCTGCCCCGCGCAGGCTTCCATCTTTGCATCTGTACAGGTGATGCACAGTGCTGTTTATGTTCCGGAGAGGAACTTAAGAGTTTGTGGTACGGAGTAAGTTTGTAGACCGGACCCACAGCAGGCATTTCTTTTTCATAGCAGGTTTCACAGTAGATTTTGTTTCTCTCTGTCCTGTAGCTCTGGGCCTCAGAACTGCGCTGCCTGTGTTCAGGAGGGGATCTACGAGGAAGGCATTTCTATCTTAGAAACCAGCTCAGTGAGTACAATTTCTTGAAGCCAGGAGTGCTGAACAGAAGTCATTTTAGAATCTCCTTTGCAACAGTGGTGGCAGAATGAGGCCTTAGAAGCTTGCGATGCTGAGCACACATGTGCATGCTCAGGGTTTGAGAGGTTGCTGCACTGCGGGAGTGGTCCTCTGGGCTGCCTTGTGCCCTCCGTGGCCAGGAAGGTGGCACTGGCTGGTCAGGTAGGGGCCGCACCTGGGGTGGCCCGTGTTCTGCAGTGGGATGCAGAGGTTTAACCCGAGGGCTGTTGCTCTTTCCAGGCCTTTCCAGACAATGCTGCCCGCAGGGAGGTGGAGAGCCTGCCAGCCGTCTGTCCCAACGAGGGGTGCACCTGGAAGGGGACCTTGAAGGAATATGAGGTAAAGAGGGGCGTCCCTATGTTGCTGCTGGCTACTCTGAGGCTCCCGCAGGTGGCTTGGTAGCTGAAGCTCTCCACTGCTCAAGATGCCATGCCCCAGAGCAGTGGTCTCCAGAGCTTCCTCTGCTCCTGCTGGAGTGGAGCCTGTCTGCTCTCTGTGGTCAGAAGATGTAGCTGCACCTCAGAAGGTGTCTGTTTAAGAGACCAAGTCATCCAGCGCACACTGCTGCACCATGGAGCTGGGCCTTTCCCTCCCTGTGTCTGTTTCCTTGTCTGTCCACGGAGGTGTACGGTGGGATGTGAGAATTGCAGGTACCTGTGTGTGAGGATCTGGCCCTGTGCCAGCCCTGGAGTGCTGTATTTGCCTTGGTAGATTTCCCAGTGATGGAGGGTAGGTCCTTCTGTGTGGGCACCTGCAGTTTTCAAGCTGCATGGGGTTTGTGTAGTGTCTTGTGTCCACACATGATTTCTTGTTTTTTTTGTGTTTTTCTTTGAGATGGGGTCTCCCCAAGGTAGCCAAGCTGGCCTTGAACTCACAGTCTTTCCATTGCAGCCTCCCAGGTAGCTGGGATTGCAGGTGTGTACTGCTGAGAATTGTGTTGACACTGGAAGTCACACGGTTCATGGACACATTCAGTGTTCACAGAAGGACTTGTGTCCAGTGACAGAGGTAACCATGGGTTGGTGCCTGATGTCATTGTGCTTTGTCTTTCTATACCAGCAGAAGCCAGTGTACTGGGGAGTTCAGTGTGGTCCTGTTGTCACACTTAGGCCCTGCAGTGTGCGTCCAGCCCCTTAGCTGTTTTGTTTCTCCACCTGGTCCTTGCCCCTCAGAACGTCTCACCCCAGATGCTTGCACGGGAACGTTCACAGCAGCAGCAGCAGCAGCAGCAGCAGCAGCAGCAGCAGCAGCACCATCCGCGTAGGCTGAGGTGGACACACCCTCCGTGTCCCCTGACAGGGTGGCTGACTGCGTGGGCCACGCCATTGATGCAACTGGCACGTGTTGCAGCAGGGAGCAGCCCAAGGACCAGCTGCTGAGCGAGTGAGCCAGTCAGGAGGGTGGCTCCTGCAGGACCCCCTCCCCGGGGTCCAGAGTGGTCAGGTCCTACAGATGGACAGGGGACTGGTGGCCGGGTGGGAGTCACTTGCTGAGAGAGTAAGGTGTTGGGGTCTTAGAGTGGGGAGGTTCCTTGAGGATAGCCCTTCCGGCCCAGTCGGGGGCTGCTTTCCTACACTTGAGGCCTCCGTGGCCAGGGCTGCCTGGGCCCCCAGAGAAGCCTTGTACCCAGGTGTTTGGTCTGTGGGTCTGTGACTGTGCCAGGGCCTGGGGAAGTTGGGATCCTCTCTCCTTCCGTGTTCTCTGCTGCGTGTGCCCTGGCCCCTCTTCCCTCATTCGTTTTGTTTTCTTGATGCTGGGGATGGATAGGCACTTCCTGTGTGTTAAGCATACCAGCTGCTCCCTTGACTTCTGACCAGCTCAAGACTCTTGAGTTATGCCTTGGTGGCGGAGCACCTCTGACTGCAGCTAGGTGTGGGAGGCGCTACACTGTTCTCCCTAGCACAGGAAGTCTTGTTTAGGTCCAGAGCCACAGCCCCAGGCGCTGCTCCTGCTGCTGCTGGTGAGGGAGGTAGTCCTGGGGTAGGTGGCAGGGCCTGGGGCACCCTGTGAGGATAGGTATGTGGGGTGGGCAGTGGGGGCGCTGAAGGGACAGGCAGGGTCACCAGCTCCAGCCCTTGGGGGGTGGATTCCCCTGGGGCCCCTGCTACCCCCAGGCCTGTGGTGTCCCTGAGGCTATGTGGGCTTGGCTGGGGGCCAGGGACTCCAGTGCTGCGCCGCCCCACAGGCATGCAGGCTGGAAAGTCCCTGGCTGCATCCTGTGTGAGCTCCGGAAAGTCCCTGCGAGGAGCTGGTCTCGGTCGTGGGGGGACAGCCCTGCTCTGGGACAGCTGTCAGAGGCCTGATTTTATGGTAAAACCTCTCCCTGGCGGCAAGTGTCCAGGAGGCCGAGGCAACATCCTAGCCAAGCCCTGCCCCCTCAGCCTGTCTGCTCAGTTGTCTCAGGGTGTTACTGGGAAGAGTGGCCCTGAGGCTAAAACTCTTTCTGCTTGGTGGTCTGAATTACTTGGAAGGTTTGGAAAAATGGGGAAAGGTCCCATTTAGCTTTTGGTCGTAGTTTTCCGTTTTGGTGACGCCTTGGCTTCTAGGAGCACAGTGGTTTAGAGCCCAGCGTCCCTGCCTCCAGGTCACCCCGGCTCCAGCTATGGGCTAAGAGCAGGCCCAGGCCTGGAGGGGCAGGCGTGGCAGCATGTGCGGCATCAGCCCCGGTTCTTTGGAGATTCAGTTAAGAGTTGAATTTGAGGGGCTGGGGATTTAGCTCAGCGGCAAAGCGCCTGCCTGGCAAGCGCAAGGTCGTGAGTTCGGTTCCCGGTACCGGAGAAAAACCAAAAAAAAAAAAAAAAAAAAAAAAGAGTTGAATTTGAATTGTGGTTGAATAAATCTTGATTTCTTTAGCTGCTGTCTGTGGGCTCAGGGAGCACATTGTGCTTCGATCCTGTTATCCGAGTGGGTTGCGGGGCGTCTGCTCCAACTTTAGGAGCTGGAGATGGGCCAGGGGCCCCTGCTGGGCCTGTGCTGTGCTGCCAAGCCTCACCCCAGCCTAGGGGCGAGGTGCTGTAGCTGGCTGGTCAGACATGCCTGGGGCTGGCAGCGAGCGCCCTCGTCCGCAGCAGGTTCTGCCTTCTCCAGGCTTCTTTGAGGTGTGTCCCCGCCACCCGGACTAAAGCAGGCATAGGCTCCCACCTGCTAGGCAGCACTCTACCGGCGGGCTGTGTCCCAGCCCTGTGAACTTTCTGTTCTGACAAAACTTCAAGAGCAGCACCCTGTCCTGCCCTGTGCTGGCGAGTGCTGTAGCACTGAGCCACACCTCCAGCCCAAGAACGGCCTTTTAGTTCAATCTACGTTTACTTCTGTCTTTTATGTTTTCTTGTTCGTGGTACTGGGGATTGAAACTAGGGGCTTCGCACTGGGCTATATCCCATCCCCTTTTTCACTTGTTGTTTTCAGACAGAGTCTTCCTGCCTCAGCCTCCAACAGTGCTGGATAACAGGGATGCGCCACCACACCCATTTATTTGATCACAACTTAAGCTAAACCTGCTTCAGCTCCATGCACCTGCAGTGACCACAGCGCGCTGCCCTCAGACTTGCCTTGGGCTACCATGCCTCCTTGTCCTCTGCAGCTGACCTTGTGCCTCCTGTGGCTGTCAGAGCCCTGGGGTCCTGCTTGGTCTCTCTCCTCCGACTGGCACAGCATGCAGAGGAGGCAGCAGATCCCTTGGCTTCCCAAGTGTGTCCAGATCCTGGCCCTTTGTCACCACTTCCCCGGTTGCTGCCATCCGTGTGTCTCGTCAGGTGCTGTGGTGGCTCGCGCCCTTCCCTCCTGTCTGGCTTGGCGGGTGCAGCACTCGGAGGCTCAGGCAGGTCTCGTCTCTTTTCTGCCCAGACCCGCGTGGCAGGGCAGTCACTGGGACGAGGGCGCATGGGCTGGGCCTGTCCCTGTGGCATGGGCACAGCCTGTGTTCCTTCGCAGTCCCTCACGCCCATCCATGCTGTCCGCCTTCCCAACCCTTTGCTGCCACTGAGGGTTCTCGGCTCCTCAGGATGCCCCCATCTCCCCTCACCATGGGGCTCCTGGCTCGAGTCATTAGCTCCTCCCCTCGCCTGCGCTCCCTCTTCCTGGGTGGGCTGGGGCGGGCTGCAGGGTCTCGACCTTCACGCTGGCCACTTGTCCTGTTTCGCTCAGTGTAGATCCCTGAGGCGCCCACGGAGACTCCGAACAGCATGTGCCACCCTGACTGTCTCATGGCTGGACCTTTGCTGGTGACCATGCCGGCTCCAGGGCCGTGAGCAGCCACCTCCATGGGTCTGCGTTTCCTGTGGGTCTCCTGCCTCCCACATCCTGTGGGGAGCGGCTAAAGCTGAAGATCGATCACATGAGTGGGGCTAAGACAAAGCCAGCCCCAAAACATGGAGAGCTCCGAGCCATATAAGCAAGCTGTTCCAGCCCATTAACAAGTTGTTGGGCAGAGAGGTTAAAATTGACATTAACCTCACAAATACACAAGTAAAGACTCTGTAGTCCTTAGGCAGTTCTTTTCCTCCCGTCAGGAAAAAAGACTCCACCTGACCTCAGCTTTCCTCTCTTTATTTCTAAACTCTCTCACCCTTTTTCCTCAAAAAAACACTGAGGGTTGTGCTGGTTCACAGCAACACTCCGGTCTAACAGTGCCAGGGCTGGGCTGGCAGGAGCCTGAGCCACTTTCTGGGCCAGGAGCTAATGGCACTGGGGCACAGCTGTTCCGGAGGCTGGGGCGAGAGATGTGCTGCAGTAGGGTCCCTTACCTCTGTGTGGGACGGGTCAGTGGGACTGGGAGGGAAGAGGTGAGGGGAAGGCACAAGGCCTGGGAAGGCCTGTGAGCGTGTGGAGCTCAGTGTCCAGGGCAGGAGGAGGAGCACACAGACACCGAGCTGTGTGCATGAGCTGTGGCTGGCGGCAGGTCCTCGTGCACCCTGCTCACACCTCCTCCTTCTGTTGCCAGAGCTGCCACGAAGGACTCTGCCCGTTCCTGCTGACGGAGTGCCCTGCGTGTAAAGGCCAAGTCCGCCTTGGGGAGAAGGAGCGCCATGCTGAGCAGGAGTGCCCAGAGAGGAGCCTGGCCTGCCGCCACTGCCGGGCGCCCTGTTGCCGATCGGACCTAGAGGTGCGCTGGGCACCATGACCTGTGTGGCAGTAGCTGCCCCATGGGCATAGGGGCCAAGTTTGGTGCTGGCATTGTTGCTGCTGGCCCTTGGTGCCTGTGTTTGTGGTTGTCAGCACTTCCTGAGGCGCAAGGTGGAGGGCTCTGGGTGGCACTGGGCTTGAGTGTGAAGTCCTTGCCGAGCCGGGTTGGAAAGCATCTTTAGAGGAGCTGGTGCCTGCGGCTGGGGATTTAGCTCAGCGGCACAGCCCCTGCCCTGCAGGCATAAGGTTGTGAGTTCGATCCCTGGTACCGGAAAAAAAAGAAAGCCAATAGAGAAACTGGTGCTTGCCCGGCAGAGGGATGGCAGTGTCACCAGCACCAGGCTGGTGTGTCCTCCCCAGACTGTCAGCAAGCAAGCCTGACTTCATGTTTCATCCAGAGTAGCTGGCAGTGTGTTTCTGAAGGGCACAGAGCCACTCCTCTGTCACTGCCATGCCAGTCAGCTTTGTCCCAAAACCAGCGCTGAGGTCATGTTGGCTCCAGAGTGCGTGGCACTTCATGGCCGGGAAGAGAGAGGAAGCAGTGAGGTCGTGTGTCCCCCTAGGGCTGTGCCTCCAGCGACCTGCAGACCTCCCACTAGGCTATGGCTCCTGAAGCTCCACCTCTCCCTGTAGGCCACGCAGGGACCATCCCACTGCACACAGCCTTTGGAGGACATTTGTCTAAACTGTAGCAGCCATGTTTACAGCGTGGTAGTTGTCACACCACTTGCTAGCTGTCCGCCCCTGCTGTCTAAACAGGTCCCACAGGGCCCCTTCGAGGCTCGCATCCACTGAAGCAGCACCTCAGGTCAACCCGTCTTTAATGCTTCCCACATCTGCTCCATGTGCTTGTTCCCTGCTCGCTGGGTTTACTTCTGTGCCCACCTCCCCCACGAGGACAGGTCTAAGCAGGGTGGCTAGGCGCTGGGCGTCTGCAGCAGCATGCCAGGATCTCAGAGGTGGTCTGGCCACCCCGTCCAGTGGTCAGCGCATGCATCGCACCTCCCATCTTCTGGCTGGCACTTCTGTCTCTGTCCTCACGGGGACCCTGTGTTACTGAAGTCACATGGCAAAGTGGATGTCCCTTCCCGGCCTCTGCAGTGGCTTCTTGTGAGCTCTGGAAGTGTGGAGCAGGAAGAAGCCTAGTGTAGTACTAGCTCGGGGTGCCGGCAGGTGCTTTCCAGGGCTGCGCCCCCTACAGAGGCACAGAGGGGCATGCGTGGTCAGGGCTGCCCCTTTGCACGACCCCTCTTCCTCACAGCCGCACCCAGCTAACCCCGGCTGCTCCTCCTCAGGCGCACTATGTGGTCTGCCCCAAGTTCCCCTTGATCTGCGATGGCTGCGGCAAGAAGAAGATCCCTCGGGAGAAGGTACGTTGCCTGGTGTCTGTTGTGTCAGGTGGTGGGGTTGTGACACAAAGCTGCCCTGCTGTGGGGTCACAGGGTATGTATGTCACTGGGCCGTGGCAGCCATGGTTCTGGCCAGTAGATCTTTATCCTCCAGCATAGGCTGTTAGCCTGGTGCATGCCGTATGCTGTGTGTGCAGTTCTGGGTATGAGCCCCGGGGCCTTGCCCGAGCCAGGGAGGTGCTGTGCCACAGAGCCCCCCACCTCTGTCACCCTGGAAGCCAGGGTTAAATTGGTCGTCCTCCTCCAGCTGCTGCTTGTGAGCAGCCTTGGAATGGACCTGTGCTGGGTCTTTTCGGAAGCGATGTAGATATGGAGAGGGGTGTGAGTCTTTGTCTGCAGAGCTGGCCCCAGAGGTGACTCCTGGACGGAGGTCACTGGGATGCAGCGGCATGTGCAGTCTTTGGCCTTGTCTCTGGCGGGCAGGCTGGAGCCATTGTGGTCACACTGGGTGGTGGTCAGCGGTCTGCACCTTGGTGGCAGTGCCCAGGGCTGTAGACTGTCTGAGCCCCTGTGCCTGGTTTCCCTTTGGCATCTTCCTGCCCACTGGGTTTGCTTTTGGGCCGGGGATACAGCTCAGTGGCACAGCGCCTGCCTGGCAAGCGCAAGGTCCTGAGTTGATTACTGGTACAAAAAAAAAAGCAGTGTGGTTTGCTTTTGTTTAGGTTTGAGCACAGCGGGGCCTGGAGTCCCAGTCGGGGTGGAGCTGGGGCAGAGCCTCTGCTGCCGGTCCAGCTGTCCTGCATCCAGGTCCCCCCTGTGGCTTTGGCCAAGTGCTCTCTCATGTCATGTGGCCTTCAGTGGTGCCCAGGGTGGCTTTTTCATTCAGTGTAAAGGTCAGGCTCCAGCTCTTTTTCTTTGAGGGGGCTGAGGATTAAGACGAGGGCCTTCACTCTGAGCCACATCCCCAGCCCTTTTCAACTTGCAGTGCCGCCTCAGCCTCCTGTGTGCTGGGGTTACAGGTGTGCACCACCACACCCAGCCGTGCTCCAGCTCGTGGCGGGCGGGACAGCCCCGTGGGGAACAGGACACTGGCCCGGTACCCTGTGCCTCAGGTCTGTCTGTGCACTGGCAGGTGCCGTCCCTGCCAGCTGTGGCCAACAGTTGCTCCTCTGTCTTCCCTCTGGCCAGTGCTCAACCCGGCGTGGTTGGTACCAGAAAGCCAGGACTAGTCCTCTCCCTGTGCTTTTCTAAGTGGTGTTTGTGTTTCTGTAGTAGTGGGGCTTGAACCTGTAGTGGTGGGGCCTTGTGCTGCCCAGCCTTCCTGTGCATTTCCGCTGTGGCATGGGGTCAGGGTCCAGGCACCCAGCAGGCCTGGTGGGCTCTACTCCTCCTTGCCCTCCCGTCTCCCTGTGTGCATAGCTTCCCATAGCTCCACGGCTCACCCATCTCCTCATCACCGCCCTGGCCTGTTCTGTTCTAGCAGGGCCGCTCCCTGGCACTGGGGAGCTGATGTTAGGGGCCTGGGTCTCAGTGCAGCTCCTGTGGGCTCTGTGCCCCAGGCCTTTAAGGGAGGGTGAGGAGTGGATTCACGCCTGTGTTTTAATTCGTACAAGGGTCACGAGGATTTGGTTTTTTAGATTTTTATGTTTATCTCTTCTCTGCTGAAAATCTTATTTTCTGACAAAAATTGGCTAGTTTTATCTTACACCTGGGGTAGGACATGGGTGTCCTGTACACACGAAGGGAAGGAGGCGGTGGGCAGTGGACACAGCACAGGACTGACTGCTGAGAGCTGCTGTCCCTGGCCGCACAGTGCTCTGAGGCCTTGTGTCCATGCTGCTGACTTGGCATAGTTAGTGCATTTGCTTTCCTCTCCTGCCTTTCTTTTTGGTGCTGGGAATCAAACTCAGGACCTTGAGCTTGCCAGGCAGGTGCTGTACCGCTGAGCTGTATCCCAGGCCCCGCCTTCGTTTTTTCAGTCTTGGGTTTGAACTTGGGGTCTTTACACTGAGCTCCACCCCTAGCCCTTTTTAGTTTTTGAAACAAGGTCTCACTGAGTTACCCAGGCGGGACCCAGACTTGTGATCCTCCTGCCTCAGCCTCCCAGGTGCTGGGATGACAGGTGTGCTCTACCAAACCCAGCTTGCTCCAGTTTCTTTTTTTTTTTTTTTTTTTTTCAGTTTATTTTTAAAACTGGAGTTTTTGCCTTTTTGACAATTTAGTTCTTTGATTTTATGAAACAGTTACATAATTTTGAAGTCAAAACCTTGCGTGGGTCCACCATGCCATCTCCTCCTCGCTCCACATATGCACCCCCATGGGTTTGGAGGAGCCTTCCCTGCCTGGGACCCCCCACCCGCCCCCGGCAAGGGCAGGTTGAGCCATGTGGGCTACGACACTGCAGGCGTTGGTCTGCTCATGGCCACATGGCCTGGAAGCCAGTGGGCAGCTGCTGTGGACCGTCTTTGCTTACCCACCACTCATGACGGTGGTGACAAGACCGCAGCAGGGGCTGTGTGCTGCTCATGGGAGGAGCCAGAGGCTCTGGAGACACCGGAGACCCTGCTGCGGTGGCCAAGCCGAGGTGCCTGCCCTAGCTGTGTCCCAGCTGTACCTCAGCCCCCAGCCCCGCTGGGCTTTCTCTGGTGGAAACTCCAGCTCTGACGGTGGAGGGCTCCGAGGGTTATCTGGGCTGGGTGGCTCCCTCCACCCCATAGTCTCCTGTGCCCAGCGGTGCCACTGCAAACACTTCAGTGACAGCAGCAGGGGCCGTGTCCCTGGAAAAGGCGCTGTGCACTTATCCCAGCCCTCTAGCTTCTGTGTTCCTCCCCTGCCTGCGGGAAGCTTCCATCCACGTGACATTGACGGGGTGCCCTCTTTTAGCCTGCTGGGCACCCCGACTTCACACCAGCAGCACCCATGTGTGTGCTGCCCATGTGGTTGGGAGCCTCAGGTTTTGTGGATTCCCTGTTGTGCTCGACACACGTGTCGGTGCCAGGCTGCACTGGCGGCTTTGCTGTGCCAGTGAGCTGCGGGCTTGTGTCCTCCAGGGACCTGGTTTGCTTTTGCAGCGTTCTCAGTGCTGGGGTTGACCCTGGCCTCGCGCATGCTGGACAGGAACTGACTGTCATGCTGCGTTGCTGTCCTCAAGTGGCTTTGGAGTTTTAAAGGGTGCATTTTAAGGAAAGAATAAAAGGGCTGTGCGTTCACCAGTGAGGACACAGGCGGTGTTGGGCATGTGGGGTGCTGGCCAGCTCCTTGAGCTCTGCAGGTGCTGCAGTGTGGCACTTCCCCTGGCCCCCCACAGACCTGGTGTCGGGTGTCACAGTATGACAGCCAGGGTATCTGGGGGGAGTTCTAGCTTACACTTCCTAAACATGGATGTGATTGAGCACTTTGCCGCAGTGCTGGAGATGTAGGTGACAATGCCTGCTTAATGGCGAGTGTAGGTTTCTCTGTTGGGGGCAGAGCTCCCGGTTTTCTGGTTACTGTTCCTGGACTTTAGTCCTTAGGGTTAGGACGAGTCCCGCTCTGGATGCAGGTGAAACCCTGGCTCCTTTCTGGATTGGCAGGTGCGTCTTCTTACTCGAGAGCTGACCGCCTGCCTCCTGGCTCGGGGTGTTAGAGGGAAGGGCTGGTGTCCTGCACTCCAGTTGTCCCGGTGTGCAGTGACCGGCTGTGCTGTCCTGTCCCTGCACATGGGCTTCCAGGGGCTGGCTGGGCCTCACGCACTCAGGTTACAAGCCCTGCTGTCCTGTGGACACCACATATCCCTGAGACTGAAGGCAGTGATGGCACAGCTACTTTCCAGAACCTCCCTAAGCAAGCTGCCATCTGGGGCAGCCCAAGATAGAGCCCCTCATCTGGACAGAGCACGTGGGCTGTTTGCTCTGTCCTGGTGAGAGTGCAGAGGTTCGGGGGTCTGTTGGCGCTGCGGCCACCATGGAAAGGGTGAGATGGAGTGAGCCTGAGGATGGCCCTGGCACTTCGCCCCCTGCCCCTCCAGTTTCAGGACCATGTCAGGACCTGTGGCAAGTGCCGGGTCCCCTGCAGATTCCACGCCGTGGGCTGCCCTGAGCTGGTGAGTGTCCCCCTCACAGCACCCGCTCTCCCGGCCCCAGCTGACTCCATCCGCGCTTGTTCCCCGCCACCCGGCTCTGGAACACCTGTACCCGAGCGCCCCCCCGGACATCCAGCGGACCCTTAGACTCACTGTGGCTGGCACCTCGTCCTGCCGTCCTTGCCCGTATGCCATCCTTCCATCTTGCCCAGGAAAGGAAAGGGCACCACCACTGCCCAGGTATCCAGCCAGAGCCCCAGAGCCCAGCACTCATGCACATCCCCTTCCAGCCCACACTTACATCGAGGCTGATGGCTCCTGGACTGTCAGCAGATGGATCCTGCCCCTCCACCTCCAGGTGCCTTGCTGTCCACCTCTCTGCCCCCAGTCGCCTGCTGTGGTGTTTATATGGGGAAATCAGACGAGGCACAGCCCTCCCAAGCCCCTGGGCCCCCGCCTTATGTCTTCATGCCCGGCTCCGATTTACAGGGCCCCTATGGCCCCCAACCTCTGCCCTGCCCTTTCTTTTTCTTTCTGTTTTTGAGGTAGGGTCTCACAATGCAATTCAGATAGTGCTTGAACCCACTGTGTAGCCCAGGCTGGCCTTGAATTCACGTTGATCCTCCTACCTCAGCCTCCTGAGTGCTGGGATTGCAGGTGTGCACCAGCACACCTGGTTTATGCACTTTTGATTTTTAAGAGTGTCTTTAACATTTTTTGATACGATTGAAGAAGTTTGAAAAATACTTAATTGAAGTCATGCTTCTTTAGGGAAGCCTGGCTTCTAGCTTTGTTTTCCACCTTTCCCTGAGAGCAACTTTTTAAATGGTGTTTCTCATCCATCCATCCATCCATCCATCCATACATTGGTAATGTCTTGCGGTGTTGCCTGAGCTGGCCTTGAACTCCTGAGCTTATGTGGTTCTCCTGTCTTACCCTCCTTAGTGCTGGGACTATAGACACATACCAGCATGCCCAGCTTTTCATTTTTGAAGCAAAAAAAGTTACATAGGAAGCTTTATAATTTTGAGGCATACTTGATTGTTAGACAGTGGCAGATTAAATGCTGTCATGCAGACGAGGAGGACAAAAGTGAGGAGGCTGAGCTGTTGCCAGGCATCTCGGACACCTGCCCCAGTGCAGCAAGGCCCCTCACACAAGTGCCAGCAGCCTCCTCCCTCTGTCCACAGGTGGAAGTTGAGGAGCTGGAGGGGCATGAGGGGCAGCAGTTGCGGGAACACCTGGCCCTGCTGCTCAGTGCCCTCCTGGATGCCCAGACCCTCCCGGGGGGCCAGAGCCAGTCAGAGTCCGAACTGTTGCAGCGGTGCCAGGCCCTGGAGCGGAAGACAGCCACCTTCGAGAACATTGTCTGTGTTCTGAACCGGGAGGTGGAGAGGGTGGCTGTGACTGCAGAGGCCTGTAGCCGGCAGCACCGGCTGGACCAGGACAAGATTGAGGCCCTGAGCAACAAGGTTGGTGCCCACAGGGCTGGTGGCCATGTTGCCGGGGAGCAGTGTAGAGCCCTCTGCACCTCGGCCTGTTTGCTGTCGTGGGCTTTGGCTCCTGCATGTCTGAGCTCTAGGGGTAGGGGATCCTACTGGGGTTCACAGGCCCTGAGAGCTGACTTGTCCTTCCTCAGGCCTGTGTTACGTGGGCAGGGGAGGGTTGTGCAGCAGGGTGGTTCTCTTCAGGGACTGGGCAGGGGCAGGTGGCTGTCACCACTCTCCCGTAAGGGGTGCGTGCTCCTGTCCACAGGTGCAGCAGCTGGAGAGGAGCATTGGGCTAAAGGACCTGGCCATGGCTGACCTGGAGCAGAAGGTCCTGGAGTTGGAGGCTGCCACCTACGATGGGGTCTTCATCTGGAAGATCTCCGACTTCAGCAGGAAGCGCCAGGAGGCTGTGGCTGGCCGAACGCCGGCCATCTTCTCCCCAGGTGTGGTCTCAGCTTCGCAGCACCCTGCTGGTCCTGCAGCCCTGCATCCCTCACCTGTGTCCCCTTGTGCCCGTGGCCCCATGGAACGGCTCTCAGGCAGGGCTGGGGTCTGTCCACAGCTGGCACCGGGAGCCTCTGCGCCTCCTTGGTGAGGGGGCGGTTGGGGGCCACATGTCCTCCTCAGGAGGGAGTTGGGACTCAAGGGCCTGGTTGCACATGGGTGGGCTTGGTTTGGGCCCTGGAGCCTGGCCACTGAGGGAGGGTGTGAGGATGTGGCTGTTGGGCGTTGGGATGGGGCCAGTCTGGCCTGTTTTCGCGTGGGTGTTTCTCCCTTCACCCCACCATTGGGTCTCTAGAGGAGGCGCCTGGGCCCTCAGGCTGTGGCTTGTTCCTATGTGGTCTCCTCCTGTGGGGACCCTCTTCCCAGCATGCCGCCCGGCGGTCTCCTGGGGTGCTGCAGAGCCCCCTTGTTCTGGAGGCTCCTTCCCTTTGTTCTCACTGCTGGAAGCTGCTGCTGAAGCAGTGGGTTCCATGGTCAAGCAAAGACGTTGGGGGCTTCTCCTGGCTCAGGTCACCCTGGCACCTTGCCTGGTGCCACTGTTGTCCTCCGCATGGCACATCCTGATGTTACCTCTGCAGGGACCAGATAGGAATGGAGTCACACTCTGTGATTCAAGCTTATGCTGGGAGAACTCCGGGGCTCCCATAGGCACCGTGCTACGTGGGACTGGGGCTGGCCCCTTCTCTCAGTGTCTTTCCTCTGAGGGCTGCTGCACCTGCCACAGACCTGGGCGAGGAGGCCAGCTCATGTAGCCCTGCTTCAGGCGATGCCCGTAACTAGGCCCCGTAGCGAGCAGAGGCTGCAAGGAATGGGAACAGGTTGACTGCTGGAACTGGGCCAGACGCACAGGCCCACCCCCGAGGCCCAGCAGGGGGACAGCCACTCCTGGGGTGCTGGTGCCTCTCTCGGGACTCTGATAGCCAGTTCCCTGGGCCTGAGCCCCGGCTCAACTGGGCTGGTTTTGGCACGGCTTTGAAGGAGCCAGTAGTAGTGGGGCCTGCTGCTTTTGGGGTTGGTGTGGTACACTGTGGGGCACCGGGTGGAGCACAGCCAAGCTTTGCCTGGGGAGGAACGAAAGCAGAAGGATTCAGAGCCATCGTGACCAGAGGAGCCCTAGTGGGCCGTGGCTCGTTAAGTTTCCACACCTGCCAGCAGTCCAGACCCGCTTGTAGGTACAGGAGAGGAATCTGCTAGGGAAGCTGGCCCCCTGGTGGTGGATGCTGGGACACGACAGGCCGTCTGGTGGCCTGAGACCCTGGATGCCCAAAGGGAGGTTTGGTCTAAGTCCAGAAACCTCGGGGCCCCAGAGCTGCTGGTTCAAGTCCTGGAGTCCAGAGCCCTAGAGCTAGAGCTCTGGTGGCCAGGGGCAGGGAAGAGGGTGTCTCAGCCCCAGGGCGGGGAGGCCAGTGTGCATTTCCTCTGCTTTAGTCCCCTCTGGGTCTCAGCTAATTGGAGCTACCCACATTGGGGTGGACAGCTCACATCCAGCTCCTCAGGGCATGCCCAGCACAAGGTCTTAGTGGCTCCAGGTGTCCCTGCCCAGGCAAGCTGTCCCCACCAGGCCCTCGGGCGTGACGGTCTGGGTAGGAGCTGCACCCCGCCTGCCCTCACAGCCCTCTCTTGCCCCCCAGCCTTCTACACGAGCAGGTACGGCTACAAGATGTGTCTGCGCATCTACCTGAATGGCGATGGCACCGGGCGGGGGACGCACCTGTCCCTCTTCTTTGTGGTGATGAAAGGCCCTAACGATGCTCTCCTGCGTTGGCCATTCAACCAGAAGGTGTGGCGCTGTCCTGGGGGCAGGAGAGGCACCAGGGGTCTGTGGGGTGTGGTGAGTGGCCGGGATGGGGTGGCACCAGTGGCACTTCTCAGTGGGTCTGGTGAGCACCGTGGCTTCTGATTGCTGGTTGCAATGCTGACCCCTGGCTCCAAGACCAGGCTTGAAAGTCCGCTCTGGGAGTGGAGCATGGAGCCCTCTCCTGCTGTGACATCTTGCAACCTGGGGTCCACCTTGGCTAAAGAGTTGAGTCTCCAAAGACCAGGCTGGGACCAGAAGGGGACAGCCCCTTCGCTTCACAGGGGACCCAGCGCTGCCCTCCTCTGCAGCCCAGGGACGATGTAGAGGCCCCACAGACCTCTGTGGGTTCCCAGACCACCAGGCCTGGGTGCTCCCCGAGAATGGCTGTTTCCTGACCTGTGGTGGAGCTGGGTCGGGTGAGGTGATGTGGAAGCCGCACGGCAGCACGGATGCCGCGGTGGGGCTTGGCCTGAGACCGGTGTGGGGCAGGAGGCACGGGCGTGGGCACACTCGCTGGGGCTGGTCCGTGGGCACCTGGCTCAGAGTTTGGTTCCCCGGGGCCTCCTAGGTGACGCTGATGCTGCTCGACCCGAACAACAGGGAGCACGTGATCGACGCCTTCAGGCCTGATGTGACCTCCTCATCCTTCCAGAGGCCGGTCAGCGACATGAACATTGCCAGCGGCTGCCCCCTCTTCTGCCCCGTGTCCAAGATGGAGGCCAAGAACTCCTATGTGCGGGATGATGCCATCTTCATCAAGGCCATTGTGGACTTGACGGGGCTTTAGCCACAGCTGGGGGACACAGTGCTTAGGGAGAAGTCACACTGGGCCAGGGCCCTGCACACTGGCAGGCAGGCAGCAGCTGCCGCCCTCTCTGCGCCAGAGACCGTGAGGAGCTGGCCTGGAAAGCCCCGGCCTTCATGGAAGGGCCCTGCACCCGTGTGGGCACTCGGGAGCCATTTCTGCCCAGGCTCCCGGCCTGCTGCAGTGGCAGGAGTGTCGGCCGCCACCAGGAGAAGGGCTGCTGCCTGCAGAGGGGCCCTGGAGCACGGGGCTCAGACCCCACACGTACTGCACAGGAGAGTGGCTCAAGGGAGCCCATGGGGCGACACTTGGGCTGTGGAGCCATCGGTATTAAACCCTTGAGATCCCGTGGTGCATGGTGTCCATCTAGCATCAGCCTGGGCAGTGGTGACCCTCAGGGTCTTGCCTTTGCGTCCCGCCGACTTGTCTGTTCCCGGGTGCTCTGAGCTCCTGGGGACTCTGAGGCCAGGGTGAGTGCAGGGAGGTGCAGCGGAGTGGCCCTTGGCCTGGACGCGGGCGGTGCCACCAGTAGGCGGGGCAGCTTCCTCACACCCGGTTCCTGGGTGTTGGCAGGTCGTCCCCCGCGGTGGTGATGCTCAGGTGAGGTCAGCCGTCAGGCTGCGTGGCACCCGGGACAACAGCCACCCTGCGTCTGGCCGTGTGTGCTCTTGGGGCTCAAGCTCCCGTCCCGCTTGGCTGTTTAACCTGTGCCGTTTCTGTATCTGGAAACAGTGTTGGAGACATGCAGCGGTCATTGGACCTGGAGTCCCAGCAGGTGCTAGGCTGGCCTGGTGACACCCGCCTCTGTGCCCCACTGGGACCTGGCTCTGAGTTCCTGGTGATGTCATCAGTGGCACAGATGCCCAGGCCCCTTGGCCATTGTGGGCCTGCTGTGCAATGGGCTGGGCGTGGTCCTCCCAGAGCACCCCTCCCCCCAGAGCTCTTTGCCTGGGGCTCACAGGCTGCTGAGTGGGGAGGTGGCCCCTGGTCCTCCTAACGTGACTTGGGGACACGGCTACCCCAGCCCGGGCCTAGGGCTCCTTGGGGATCTTTCCATGGAACTGCAGTGTGAACCTGTCCATTTTCCCACTGGCACATCAGACGTGGTTCCTTTTGGTTGAGGAGAGCTGATTTTCCAGTTGCCTAGCCTTTGGTCAGGTCTTTGAGCCGTGTCTGTTCAAATGTAAATGTGACCTTTTTTGTTTTGTTTGTTTGGTTTTTTTCTTTTGGTACTGGGAATGGAACTCACGGCCTCGCACTTGCCCGGCAGGTGCTGTGCCGCTGAGCTAAATCCCCAGCCCCTGACCCTTTTTGTTTTAAATTGGGAATTGAACTCGGGACCTTGTACTTGCCAGGCAGACGCTTGTGCTGCTGAGCTGTATCCCTGGCCCCTACGTGACCCTTTAAGTAATGGTTTAAAGTTTTGTTTTTAATATAATGAGTTTCTACTTTGGGAATTTGAATGTGACATATATATTTTTAAATTAGGATTTAGGTTCAAGGTAGATCATTGAGTCCATTTTTTATCTTAAAAGGAAATGGAGCTGGGTGTGGTGGCACATACCTATAATACCAGCATTCAGGAGGCTGAGGCAGAGGATTGCTGTGAGTTTGAAGCTAGCCTGAGCTACATAGTAAATTCAAGACCAGCCTGAACCGCAGAGCAAGACCCTGTCTCAAAACAACAACCAAAAAAAAAAAAAAAGGAAAGGAAATAGTGTGGCTCAGGGGTAGGATATGTGCTTAGCATTTGAGGCCCAGGGTTCAGTCCCCAGCACCAACAATAACAAAAACTAAGGCTTGGAAATGGGTCTGTTAGATGAGAAGTTTGCGAAGATGCTTATGCAGAGGGCACAGTGGGGGAAGAGGGCCAAGTTGGACTCAGGAGTGGCCCATTGTGCAGGGTGGGTAGTGGCAGCCCAGCAGAAGAGACTGGGCTGGATCTGCCTACCTGTTGGGCCCCTGGGCAGGGTGTGGCCAGCAGTGGAAGGGGGTTACTGCTGTGGCCCTGCTCCCCTGCTGCCCGTGAGGGGGTGTCCTGACCTCACCTTGCAGAGGGAGCTGGGCCTGCACCATGGGGAAGCTCAGTGCCGCCATCCCTCCCCTAGCTCAGTGCGGGATGCACTCCACTGCACTGCTCAGACCCCAGCTCCCAGTCTCGACAGGCACCATCAGTGCTCGTTTTAGGGCGTTTCGCTACCCCAGAAGGAACCTGTGAGCAGCCACTGCATCCCTCCCACACCCGGACAGCGCACTCAGCTGCCCTACAGACGGGCCCTGCTGAACGTTGCTGGATAGAACCACGGCACACAGCTTGCTCCTGCCGCTTGTTGAAGCTGGATTAACAGAGTCCCGCTTGGATTTAGTGTCTCGCTGCTGGGGGAAAGGCTGCTGTGGGTGTTGGTGCTGGCCCCCTGGGTGTGCCCACCTCGCCCTCCACCTGGGCCGAACATGCAGCTTCCAGAGGCCGCCAGACTCCTGCACAGCTGTCCTGTGTCACACTGCCAGGGAGTGCTTTTCAGCTGGTGCCTTCCCGCGATCTGTGTGCCGTCTTTGTGGAGCAGTGTCCGCAGCACGGGCAGGCACGGTGGGGGAGTCCCCCTGGGGAGGCAGATTCGGGTGGTTCCCAGAGGGTGAGACCTTTGTGTAGATTGCTGTCTAGCTGGTCTCATTTCTCTGAAGGTAGACACAGAGTGGGATTTCCGGGTTACCGCAGGGGTGCAGTCTTTGTTATTGCATCTTTTTGAGGGAGTTTGAGATGGTCTCGCTACGTAGTGCAGGCTGGCCTTGAACTCACTTTGTATCCCAGGCTGGCCTTGAACTAGTAGTTACCATCCTGCCTCAGCTTCCCAAGTGCTGGGGTTACAGGCGTGTGCCACCACACCGGCTCATGATCATCAATGTTTTTAAAACAGGATCTTGCTATGTTGCCCAGTCTGTTCTCGAACTCCCGGGCTCCAGCAGTCCTGCCTCAGCCTCGAAAGCAGCTGGAACTGCGGATGTAGTCTGCATGCTCAGCACGTGGGACAGTGTTAGGACTCACTGAGTCATTGTGAACCTGCCAGTGTCTGCTGAGGAGGCTGTCTTCTCTGGTGCGGAGCCAGTCACATCTCCGTGTTCAAGTTGGGTAGTGTTTTCTCACTGTTGAGTGTGAGAGTTGTTCACACACTCTGGACAAGTCCACTGTCGGGTGCAGGATTTGCAGATACGTTCTCCCAGTCTGTAGTTTGTGCCTCACCCTCTTAGCAGTATCTTTTTAGATGAAAGCTTTGAGTTTTGATAAAGTTCTGCTCCTCAGCTTTTTTTTCTGTGGATTGTGCTTTAGGGTCCTGTCTGAGGGCTCCTCCTAACTCTGAGGGTGACAGTTTCTCTTGTGAGTTCATCATCTACAAGTGCTAACCATTTTATGCTCTGCACATCAGCCTGCAATCCGTCCGAGTCAGTGTGATGTGAGGTGTGAGTTTCAGTTCAGTTTCTCTATCCTGGTGGCCACTACTGCTGGACTGAGGCACAGTACCTGAGGGCTGGCGTGCCTCTCCTGGACTGGCTTGGCCCTGCGGGGAGGATGATCTTGCTCCGAGGTTAGACTTCTGTAAAGAGTTAATCTGTCACACTGTGTGATCTGTTGTGTTCTGCTCATCTGTGTCTGTTCCTTCCCCAGCAGCTCCTCCAATTTTGTTGTTTTTCCCAGTTGTTTTAGCCACGTTTGTTCCTCCACCAGTGCACATGAATTTCAGAATCAGTCTAAGAAACTACCAAGGTTTCTTTGGAGCTGCCTCGGCTGGGGGGCAGCCTGCAGGTCAGTCTGCGGGTTAGCCTGCGAGTCAGCCTGTGGGCAGCCTGTGGGGTGGCCTGCAGGGAGTGGGTAGCTTGCCGAGTCCTGCCCACAGCCTTCCGGCCTCCTGCGCCTCCACACTCTGGTTCTGGGAGGCTGGGCGTATGTTTGTGTCTGTAGATTTGAGGAGATCTTGTGTGTAAGCAATCAAGTAGTCTGGTGCTGAGGTGCTTCCCAGCCCTTACAAAAATTTGGCCAGGTGAGTAGTGCACATTTGTTTTTGTTTTGTTTTGTTTTCCCAGTACCAGGAATCGAACTCACGACCTTGTGCTTGCCAGGCAGGCGCTGTTCTGCTGAGCTAAACCCCCAGCCCCTTAGTAGTGCACATTTGTAATGCCAGCACTCAGGAGGCTGAGGCAGAAGGATCGTCATGAGTTAGCCAGCCTGGGCAACATAGTAATTTCAAGGCCAGTCTGAGCTACATAGCAAGACCTTGTCTCAAAAAAAAAACTAAATAGATAGATAAAGAGAAAAAGCAAGAAAGTTTTAAAATTTTAACACAGTGTCCCTAAGTTGCCCAGATTGACCTTGAACTTTTGACCCCGCTGTCTCAGCCTCCCAGGTAGCTGGGCTCACAGGCACAGGCCATGGCATCCAGCTTGACCTGGCATTTTGTCGGGTGCTGTTTCTGCATCCAGGGATGCCTCGTGGCCATTCCTTCTGACTGGTGGTGGCAAACCCATGGCACGCATGCCACAGTGGGCTGTGTGTGTCATTGAAAGTTCTAAAAGGTTCGCCATCCCTGCTCCTGACCACACCATGGTGGCTCACAGTCAGCGGTGCCAGGTTGAGCCAGCCTTGCTGACCTGGGGTGACCCACCTCGGCACGGTTCACTGTCCTGTCGGTGGAGCAGTGCGTGTTAGGGCGCTGGGTGGCTGTGACGTGCACTGGTCTGTCTGCGTTAGGGCGCTGCGTGGCTGTGAGGTGCACTGGTCTGTCTGCGTTAGGGCGCTGCGTGGCTGTGAGGTGCACTGGTCTGGCTGCACGGGAGCCCTTCGTACTCGTGGTTTCACTTTTCATGGTTTCAGTCACCCTTGTTTAACTGCAGTCCAAAACTAATGGAGTTTTCAGAAATAAGCGATGAATGGTTTTGATCAGGCCCCCGTCTGAGCAGTGTGGTGGAACCTCGTACCGTCCTGAGATGGGTTTTCTGTGCACACCCCTGGTCTCACCCCACACGGCATTCACCACCGCCCATTAGCTGCGAGCTGCCATTGCAGCTGCAGCGTCATAGTACTTGTGGCCGGTGGTGCTGCTGGTGACTCACTCACCAGAAAGAAGGTTGCTGCAGTGTGACATCTGGGGGACTGTGAGACAGTCATGTGACTTTTATCACAGTCCTCTGCACAGTGGCTCTGTGCCTGATTGACATGTTAAACTTCACCGTAAGCCTGTGTGTTCATGAATACCAGGCCTCGCCCTGTCTGCTGGCACCCACTGGGCACCTTGGGATGTGTGCCCTACAGATAAAGGGACACTGTGTTATCTGTGGTTCTCTATGGGGCTCTACAGATGGAA